AACAGAAAACGGGACAACTCACTTCGACTCATTGAGTTCCTCCCTGGACTCGCCGAGTCCCTCGGTCTGTTTGGGCTATCTTAATGGATTAAGCCCCTACACTTCAGATCTAAGTCCCAAACTTTGTCTACCTGCTGGAAATGACCTCTTAAGGGTAAAGTGGAAACTTTACCCATTACTAGTCCTTCTCAATGGGTTTAGCTCAAACCCTAGCTCCTTAAGACATAAGTCTTTGTCCCAAAACTCATATTACTTCAAACCAAAGCATGAAAATCGAGATCCAGATCTTAGACACCATATGAGCACATAAAGTCTCAGGCTTTCCACCCATATATGGCCTTTTGGGCTTATCAAGGCCAAACTAACACCTTAGAGCTTGCATGGGGACTTCAATGGCATAAAGTTTGCACCTTTATGCCTTAACACTCCTCAATTATTACAGATCTTAATAGATCCTTTCTTGGGACATCCATAACCCAAGAATCAAGTTCCTTGGACCAAAAACCCCATAAAGTAACAAAGAAGAGATCTATCAAGCTATTAAGCAAGGTTGAGACTTGCTTACCAGAAAATGAAGAGGATGGGAAGTTATTTCTGGATCTACAAGCCTTTCCTTGAATCCCCCAAGCTTCTCCTTCTTCTTCAAGCTTCAAAGCACTCAAGAACACTCAATAATGGCTCACTATATCATTAGGGTTTGAGATCTAGGGTTTGGACAGTGGAGGCTGAGAATGGGGCTGAAAGGTGGAGAATAAGATGCTTAAATAGGAGACACAAACCCAGATTTAGGGTTTCTCAAACCCTGACCAACTCGTCGAGTAGGTCTTCCCGACTCGTCGAGCAGGTCCTTCCTACCCACGTCCTGATCTTGCTTCTACTCGTCGACTCACCCCCTTGGACTCGGCGAGTAGACCTTATTTACTTGGGGTTTTCTTCCTTTAATTAGCCTTCTGGATTTCGGGTGTTACAACTCTCCCCCACTTAAACAGACTTCGTCCTCGAAGTCTTCTGCGGTTACCCATCTCGGATACTCCTCACGCGTAATGCCCTCAGCTTCTTCTATCTATCACCTACCGTGCATACATCTCACAACAATTATATATGATGCATAACTCCGTCTGCTCGGTCCACTCCTCGAAAGACCACTTCTATTGGCCTTCCGTACGGTCTTCCTGAGCGAAAAGCTAACCCTTAGAGTTAAAAATCTTGAGGGTACTCTAATCACTGTCAATCCTGGATACATCACTCTTACCCAACCGACAACCCTTCTGGTACTCCCCGAGTACTTACACTTGACATCCAAGGGGTTCGCCCTTTACCCTGCGCAGTCCACGGCCTTCCCAAGGCAGTTGTTCATACGCAACAACCTTTCCTATCCATGTGAAGGATGGATCCTTCACTGAAACTAAATCTTCAGCCACTCCTAGTGCTGGTCACCTCGTTGCTACTTACTGACTGCTTCCACTTACTATGTGTCGGTGATGAACACCCAACTCAACGTGCAGATCAGATAATCCTTCAAGTAAAAGACTCATCCCTGCAACGGTTAGACTCAGAGGAGAGCTGCGCAACAGGGTCAGATCAACCACTCTGAGATTATTTAATCCAACTACAAACAACTTAGTGTATAACCCAATTATAAGCGACTCCACACACGAATCCCAAGTCATTGAACCCACCTCGACTCTTCTTGCTACTACTTACTACTCTCTAAAGGCAGCCGAGACCACCCTGATCTCACCTTATCTGTCAACTGCTCGAAACATCAGTCACCTAACTGATTGTTGGGCCAGGACACACGCACAACATTCCCACATGACCCCCGAAGGATACCTCGTCTGACAATAACTGTCCTCTATATACCGCCACTCATGGCTCCTTCAATCCTTTGATCCATCTGATCATGATAGGCTGACAACCTGTCGCCACTGAATATGACGCAAAAGGTGAATGCTACTAGAATAACTGTAGTCTTACATCATACCCAGTCTCCTTCGACCTACCGTTTCCTAACTTTCGTTGTGTTGTGACCTAATCACAACCTTGTGAACTGGTCCATCCTGGCCTAATTCATCTGAACGAATCTGTGAATGTCACGGCTACCCTACAGTCTTTCTACACTTCCCGCACTATCTGACCGCTTATGAATGCTACGGCTCCCCCGCAATCTTACAACACTCTCCACACTATCTGACTACTAGTGAATGCTACGGCTCCCCCGGAGTCTTACAACACTTACACCCTACTGACCATGAGTGAATGCTACGACTCCCCCGTAGTCTTACAACACTTTCATCCTAACTAACCATTAGTGAATGCTACGGCTCCCCCGTAGTTTTACAACACTTTCACCCCCAACTGACCATTAGTGAATGTTACGACTCCCCCGTAGTCTTACAACACTTTCACTCCAACTGACCATTAGTGAATGCTACAGCTCCCCCATAGTCTTACAACACTTTCATCCTAACACAAACGCAACCCAATGCCTTACCCCTAATCTGTCAATTCGAAACGCGTACAGAGTCGAGCACGCACTCGACCAATCACCCAAACTGAACTCCATCCATGACTGGAACCCCACCTGGTTCCCTCCCCCAAAGCCTGATATCTGACGTCCAGAAGACGCGATCCAATGTTGGGGAGTTTCCCGAACTCCCATCCTGCAGAATCCTATATCCAGACAACCACTAGGGTCGTCTTCCTTTCTCTGATGGGGATACGAAACGTATCCTAGTTTCACCCTTGCTTCTGTTCTGGCTACCTGGACGGTTCTCCCCCACTTAGATTCACCTAAGTCCGCTCGGCACATGAAAATCGAAGGATTCCCGATCCTTCTTACGTTCCAATGATCAATCTGTTGACGACCGATGCTTACCAACGCTAGTGCTCCCAAGTAACCCTTCCCAAAACGACATAATTCCTAAAAAACCGGCTAATACTTTTTGAATCCTAACAACATTAATGATTCCAAATGCTTAAACTGATATCACATACAGATTTTGAAGTCCAAAGGACGGATGGTCTAACCAAAACCTCAGCAACAACTCTCCCTTCCCTCGGCAATCCTGATTGCTCTTCCAAGCACAATTACTAAGGCTACTGAAAACCAATCATAGTTCCCTCGTACAAGCCCTTGAACTAACCCCGACTACACCCCAGATGACATCCGAACACTGGGGATCGGCTACTTATAAGGGTACGCCTCGTACCACTCCACCAAAGATTCATGGTATGCAGATGACATGTAATCCTTCTTGAATATAATACCCTTGACCACAAACAAAGATAACAACCTCCCGACGCGCTTACATCACGCTGATGCAAGATAACCTCCACAAATCCAGGTAAAGCTGGAAGGAAGGCGAAAAGGGTACGTACCCCGCACCATCGCCTGTTGAAGTTACGACCTCCCCTGTCTGGTACTACAAAGTGTGGCCCCTCTCTGTTAGGGCTCCTTCCTTACCCTCTCATCCGTCGGTGATCCTCAAAATATCTGGAGCAGGTGCACTCACTACTCCTCTCTGATTATCGGACAGTCGACCTCCTTGTCACCCACCTGATCACAATGAGAATATAACGGGCTTGCCCCCTGTGGGCAATCCCTGCTGACGTGACCCACCCTGCTACACCTATATCAATCCAGATCCCTGAACAGATTCCGACAAGGACTCGGAACAATAACGGTACACGCGGGATCCGCTCCGCGAGATACATCCGCCTGAAGATTTCTCAAAGATTCCTCGACATGCTGAATGGCATCTGACAACCCTTGCTAACTCAGACAATAGCGGAGAACCGACCCGAGATCTAACTTTATCACAATTCCAAAGCGATGCACATTCCCTATATTTATCTGAAGTGGCAGAAGGTAGCATATCCACAACATCTGAAGGAATCCTAACCATCTCCTCCTATGTTACCTCGACCATCCCGAGGACATGGTGTAACACTTCCTTCCAATCCCAATAACAATCCAAACCCCTGAAACGAAACTCCATCGCATAGTTTCTGCAAGCGTTACACTGGATCCAACCCTGCGAGTCTCTCAAACCATACAAACCAAATCAAATGGACCAAAACATGACATAAAACCTGGATCTAAGGAGGAAAGCATTAAAAGATGGAAACTTGAGGACTTATAAAAAGTCCAGAAGATGCACACAACTGAGGGACAGGTTTTCTAGTTGAACCAAGGCACCAACTCTTCTTCTTCTTCCTTCAAAACCCCCAAAAGCTTGCAAAATGAGCACAAAAAGCCCCAAGTGGCTAGGTTTGCTTCAAGGGTCGATTAGGAGGTGATGGAGGCTGAAGGGGAAACCCTAGCCATCACTTTCATTTAAATAGGGCTCAAGCCCTCAAAATAGGGTTTCAATCATAACAGGTCACCACGTCATGACCCAAAGAGTGTCATGCCGTGGGATTCAAGATAGGGTTCGCGTTCAACCTTGTGATGCCATGTCGTGGTGGTGCCCCCACCATGCCGTGGCCCTTCATTTAATGCAAAACTCAACAAATAATATAAGAAGTAATACCTCAAGATTTTGGATGTTACAAGAACGCTGAAAAAGTTGACAGCTTGTAATATATAAAAAAAATTGGTCTGAGTTCTTATAAAATTGAAAAATCTTATTCATTTTATTTTTAAAAACTTCATCATTTATAAATATGTATAACTTTTTTTACCAATTAAGAAGTTTAACCGGTACATTTGATATTAAAAAATAAATAGTTTTTAATGTCTGGTAATTATAGTTTAGAAAAAATAATTTATCATTATCATCTTTTAATTTTATATCTATATGTATTTTTAGATAATTTTACATATTTTAAAATTTTCTTTTTATTTATGTCAAACATCTACAAATAAAAATTCGAATTTTCATTTGGGAGTTTTAACGTGTCCTAACAGAACAAACAAACACAATTATAAAAAAAAAAAAAAAAAAAAGCATAATTTTTTTTTTATTTTGATTTTGGTAATTATTCATTCTCGTGACATTACTTTGGCTTCAAAGAAAACAGATTTTACCCAGAAGTTCATAACCTCGTCCTTCTCTCCTGCAACACCTCAAAAACCCCATTTTCCTTCTCACGGATCCTCAAACTTTCATCAACCAAAAAACAAAATCAATCTCCATACAAATTCAGCATCTGGTTTCCTTTCGATCTCGATCTGCATCTCCGTCAGTAGAAATACTTTGCTGTGTGTGCTTCATTGGTGATGAGAGAGAAACAAAATGCGAACACCATCACCAAGTGTAGCTCCATTGAGCAGTTGTAGTACAAGCAGAAGTACCAGTTGTACACTTGTAGGTAGAGATGTTGGTGAAGACGATCAACATTGGAGGAATTTCGATAACTCGGTCAGTGCGGTGTCGTTTGGACTTGTCGCTACTGCAATTCTCATTTCTATGTTCCTTGCCATGGCTCTGTTTGAAAGGTTTCTCCGGCCACCTTCCTCCGCCGCCGCAGCCACCGGCGCCCGTAATCGTGGAGATCTCGAGTCACAAATGGTTGCCCATGGGAAACTGGAATTTCCATCTCCAAAAGTACGTTATCCTCCTCCTCCTTCTCTGCATTTCCCCAAAAATAAAAATTCTTTCAATTTTATTGTTTATTATTTTATTTTATTTGTATGCTAATTTATGGGACAACGTAGCCTTTTTCCTTTTTTTTGATATATTTAAATTGCAAGATTTTCTATTTTGAAAAAATGATAGTATATTTGAGAAAACAAATTAGGGCAAGTTGTTAACTTATCAGATTAAGTTTTTGTCGTTGTTAAGTTAATATAAAAGTATAAACGCCAACATAATTGGTAAAAAAAAAAGTATTTTATTCCTTTTAGGGAGAATTATAATGAGATGATACCCATCCACACCATTCAAGTTGGAAGGACAATGGGTTCGAATCACTCTGATATTTAATAAAACAGGAATTAAGACATATTTATTGTGTGTTTTAAAGTGAATAATGGCTTTATTTCAATTTTTTTCCATAATTGTATGTGTTTAGTGAGTGAATAATTGCTGTTAGTGGATTCAAAAGTAGATTTTGGGAATTTTTCCATATGATTTTGTCCAAAGGGACGGAAAAGGGAGATAACTGATAAGATTAGACAAGAGAGAATTTGAGATTAAAGATAAAATTAAATTGGGGAATTAATGTTTTAAACTCAGTATTATGTTTTTAAACAATCATCATGCAAAGCAAAAGAAAACACACGAGTTGGCATCAAAATTGTGAATAAAATAGTTATGTTCGTGAAATATATTAGTTAATTAAAGGGTTAAACATCAGAAACTAAATAACAATGTAGTTTTATTAACAATGTGCTTTGGAAAATCTATCTAATTATAACTATGTCATTCAAATACAAAACATTTTTTTATAAATGAGTAGATTTTTCAAAATACAGTACTTTTAATTGATTTTTTTTTAAAGTACCATATTGTAATTAAAAAAAATGTGAGTGTTATTCTATAATACACACATAAAAAGGTTAGAATTTAGCATGAGGCAAAATGCTAGTCATCTACTCCATGTGTTTTCTGTTAGTTATCTTTCTTTGACGTTAAATATTAAATATTTATTATTATTTTATTATTAACTTTAACACCATATATTTGTATTTCTGTCTTGTCTTTTTTTTATGTAATCATTAGTTTCTCTTCAAAAAGTGATAGTCAAAAATAGAAAACCAGTCACTATTTTATTGATTTAGTCATTTAACTGTTTTATTTTAATAATTAAAACCATTGTATAATTTTATCCTTCAAAAAAACCATTTGATTGCTACGTGTTCTTTTGAAATATATTTTCACTGTTTTATCTATTTAGTCGTTTAATTATTATTTTTATTTGATTATAATAATATTAGCTCAGTGACTAAATTAAAAAAGAATAATAATAATAGCTTGGTTTAATCAATAGAAAAATGGGGAGTTTGTGTTACATCTTTTCCATGGCATTAGAACCGGGTAACTGAAAAATAATGAACGAAAATACATAGATTTTTTTTTTAAATATATAAACAAAAATAAATGAATGTTCTTTCATTTTCAAATTATGGTTTAATTGACGCTTCATGTGCATTTAACTAGAAATATTATTTTGTTACTGACAACAAATTTAAATGTTTCCTTACTTTTACATCGTCAACTTTCATTTGGTGGACCACCTTTACATAAACGTCCACCGCCATCATAATGTCATATAAATTATCCAATATAAAAAAAAAGAAACAATAAAACTAAATTAAAAAAAAAAAAAATAGATTAAAAAAAAGTAACGATAATTCCCCTTTAGTTGATGAAATTCAAAAACCCAATAAAATGTTGGCAGTTATCAGCAAATTTTCAAAAATTAAATTCTTGGATTGTCGTGTGGTCATTGTACTTGATACATATACTTAATATTTGCCTCAGAGTTTTATGTGTACTATATAATCATAAGGACAAATTGCAATAAATTACAACGTACATTACTCTTTTCACCAATTAAGCTGTTTTGTTATATTATTTACTCATAATAGCAATGCATTTACATTTCTTTACCTATAATAGCAATATACATTTTTAATGATAATAGAGAGCAATATGTTACTTTGGAGAATGTAATTTATTTATTACTCATGATAACAATCTACTTAAATTTCTTTTCACATAAAAGCTAACATATTTATATTTCCTTACTCATAATACTATAATAGCAACACATTTTCATTTCTTAACCGATACATAACAATATATAATAAAAAGAATAGATTGTCCAAAAATTACATGTTCGATGTTGTTATTGGTTAAAAAATAAAGTACATTACCAACTATTATCTTTTTTTTGTAGTTATAAAATGGTTCTTTTCCTTTAAAGTAGTAGTAAGAGAGTTAATAAAATATTAATAAAAAGGGGAATTATTAAACAAGTTGAATAGAGTATAATGGTGTGTTTGCTTTTTATGATTTGTTAGGACCAAGAGGTCACCTATTTAGGCTACAAACATGTGGTGATGTCCAAGTTTCAATTAGTAAACCAAACAAAACTTTATCTACTTTTAATATCTCCTTCAATCTTGGTACCCTAAAAACATTATTGTTTATTACCAACCCCATGTGACTTTTAGGTACAACATCAAAATAACATACATTTTTCACTCATTCCTTATCATCTAACTTTTATTTTTCTCTATTATAATAGTATTATATTTTTTTGATATATCTATCTTGCGTATATCAAAATTTATAATTGGATAAATCTTTTTAAGATATAATGTCTTAATAAAAAAAATTAGTTGTAAAATACAATATGCAATAGCCAAATATGCAACATCGTAGCGAATGTCAAATCCATAAGTTTCCATATGCTGATGGTATGTACAGAAACTTGATTTATTAAATAAAATAAAATCTTATCCATGATTTGAGGATAAAAGAAGTCAAACTTCTTCATGTCGTCTGTCTTTTATTGATTATTATAGATTAATTTTAACCCAACATATTGTCTTATGTATTAATATGGTAATATAAGAGTGATTAAAGTCAAAAATGCCTTCTAATGATCATGCAGGCTAATAATATTTATGCAAGAGAAGTTTCTGTATTAATGCCCGGAGAAGAAACCCCGACTTTTATCGCGAATCCTGTCCCTTCAGTAAACAAGTAAAGAACATGTTTAGAGGAATTTTATTTTTTGGGTTCATGTGTTTTTATATTTATTTTGTGTATTTTTTTTATGTTTATTTAAAATCATGTATTTGCAAACTATACAAAGTGCTACAAAAAAGACAACGCGCCAACATTTTATCGTTTATTTAAGCAAATAACGGAGATGGTTAATTTGATTAATATGTATTATTAGGTTTAAATGTTTATTTATGTAACAAAGTGTTTTTTAGACAAAACATATGATAACGTTTTGATGTAGGGCCAAGATATGCGATATTAGTATTTCACATGTAATATGTTTTGAAGAGTGGTAAATAATTTGTTTTGGTTAAATATATTGCAAAAAGTGAAACAGTGTTGAATGATGTCTTTTTTATAGTAGGTATCTAGCTAATCGAGCCCATGAGGTGAATGATTGTCTGATAATGTAAGCATAATGTGGTTGCAAATTTATCTAAAAACATGTTATTGCATAAATTGGAAGAAATATTAAATATTTTTGTATAAATTGGTGACATGGTGAAACATTGTTGTACAAAATTGTAAGGAAATGAAACATTAGTGTGTAAATTGATAAAAGGAAAATAAAACAAACTATATCATGTGGGCCTTACTTGTTTCATATTGCATTACAATATTACATAGCCATTTGTTATGTGTTTGTCATGCCATACACCAACAATTGAGATTGAGACGAACATTACCGGAACAAAAATTGCAAATATTACGTACATCTTTTGTAAAAAAAAAAAAAAAAAAAAAAAAAAAAAAAAAAAAACTAACACACATTTTTTATCAACAAAATTAAATTGATAACTAAACATAATATAGCGTGGTCTAATATCGTCCGCCCCCAAGACTAATTTTTGCACATAGAAATACATATTTAAATAAATGAGTGACAAAAATTATCCTATAAAATTATCAAAATACCATCTTAACTAAAAATGGAACTTAATTGCTAATTAGAAAGGGGAAAATGCCACAAAAGTCTTTAAGTTTGCTTTTTTTTTTTTTTTTTTTTTTTGATGAATTTACCCAACATCGAAGTTTTTGTGTGGAAGTCTTACATTGTAAAGTTTCTCAAAATTGATATTTATCAAGTAACTCTTCTCTTATTTGGTTATCTCTGTTGATGTGGCATTCAACATGGTCGTTAAACCCTTAAAACTGTTACACACCTTCTGTTTGCAACCGTTACGCCTTGAGAAACCAAAGACTTCTCAACACATCACATTTACGTACTTGATCAAGCATGATTTCTTGGATATTTCCAAGAAATAATCACGAAAGAAGTGTTTAATAGGAAACAAAATGTTAGATTTGTATTTTAGTTTCCAGAATCAAATAAAAGTTTAGGTAATTCAAGGATTTGGATAAGATATCCATGCACAAAGTAAGTTTGTATTAGTCCATATTAATGTAATTTTTGTTATCTTTCTTTAATTGTGGTTTCTTAAAAGAATGTATTAGGTTTTTGACATTCGTAATGTTGTGTATGTGTTAGAAATGGCTTCATTAGTGGATTGTTTCAAGAACCCATATGTTGGTTTATACAAACCCTTTTTGGATCGAATGAAAAACTTGGAGCTTCATGTTACATGGATCATGGACTAGAGGAATAATCCGTTACAACAATAGATAAGTATAAGGACATATTTCTTAATATTTTAATTGAGTGATGAAAATTTACATAATACAAGTATAAGTGATGAAATTAGAGCTCAAGTTTACCATGCTAGTGATTGGCAACTTGAAGGAGGATGAGGAGGAAATAAGTACCAAATACATGATTTATGATCTAACTACCGAATGAAACAAAATGAAACCAATGGTTGGTGATATTTGTGAGTCCCATGTGCAACTCAAATTTTGTATCGCAAACTATGTAGTCTCAAGTTGTTATCATATTTACTTTGAGAAGTGTGGCACTACAAGGATTGTAACAAGATAGGGAAAGAGGAAAGAAAAGAACTTATGCCCATTTAAACTTTATGCAACATAGATGTACAAAGAAATATTATTCCAAGTTAAAGGCGTGATTGATAGTTTGATACCCATAAATATTAACGAAAGTTTAAAATTTTGGGTCTATATGAGGGTGATAATGGACTCAAACTGTTGATGTTAGTCAATCTAAGGATTATGTTAATAAAGTTGCTACTGTTGAACCTGAGTTTGATGAGGGCAATGCATATGATAATGTCCTTAAGGTAGTGATGAACTTATCATGTTACTAGAGTCACGCTACAAAATGAGGAAATTGAAAGCAATAGACATAACAAATTATACATCATAACATGCAACCGGTTGTGTTGGTAATACTAAAGTCATTATCTTTTTAAATTATGAAACATTTCTACATTTGTCCTATTACTTAAGCTATATATCTATATATCAAAAACATGAACTAAATGAGGATGATGATGGTGAAGGTGATGTTGATGAAGGTGATTGTGATGCTCAAACACATGAAGCAAAATTCAATAAGGCTAATGTAGGTGATGATGTATGGAATGAAGTTGATGCTAAAGGCCATGAGAAACAACTTTCGTTCAACAATAAGAAAAGGAAACCATATGAGAGACTAAACTGAATAAAGTTCTTTTTTTTTTACAAAGATGGTGGTAATGGGATAGTTTACTTGGGCATATGTTTAGGTAGCCCAATTTTGATTCATCTTTTCACCCGCTACTTGCAACATTAATCATCTTGTTTTTTTGTTATCATTATGGTTGATTTTTTTTTTTTTTTTTTTGAAAATTTGTTTATACATTTGGTACAATTGGATGGATGTTGCATGTTAGTAACATTAAAGCTTTTGTAATGGTTAACCCTAATAATGTTATTCGTTTGTTTAATTCAAAGTACCTTGCCATTTGTTTAATTACATACAAAATACATTGACATATGCTCAATTATAGCCAAAGTACAACACTATTTACTAAATGACAACATAAATACATTACAATTTGTTCCATGACAGACAACCTACATTTTCATTTCATCTCTTACAAAAAAAAATGCATTACCATTTCAAACATAACAAACAAAGTACATTTACATATCATCTTCCACACAAAACTACATTTCACTCCCATATAAAGCAAATACAAAAAATAATAAAAAAAAACACACAATAACAACAACCAAACAAAGTAGTGTATGTATATCCTATGATTTGACAATTTATGTGAGAATGATAGGTATAGTATCATCCTAAATTTTTACTTTTCCCATCTTCTCTTTCATAACTTCAACTTGGTGGGTCAATCTATTTTTAAAAATTACAATTATCTTTAAGGTACTACCAAAAGAGTAAGGTTATTTAACTAAAATCTCTTCAAAAGTTAGAAAGAAAACTACCTTAAAATTAAAGAAAGCTCAAAACCTTCTTCCCAAGGTGTCCCATGTTCTTCCGACCGAAATTGTGCGAACAATCACCACACTTGCACTGAACGACGAACAATCACCACACTTGCATTAAGCAACAACTTTGTTTTTGGTTGAAGAAGTTGACATTCTACTGACATGAAAACTTTTTTTTTTCTTCTTTTCAACGTATCTCTCATTTATTAAGGAAACATATTGTTATGGATGCAAATGAGACGAGCTACTCGCGAGTTATCTGAACTCAGATCGTTAAAAGATCGAAATAAGTTGAGTCGTAACGCTAAAATAAAGTCCATGTAATAAGCAAGCTTGATCTCGAGCCTCTTAGCGAGGGTTCGTTATAATATAATTTTTATTTTAGAAATTATTATTTATTACTTATATATTAATAAAATATGAAAAAAAGTAAAAGTGGGTCCCGATTTTTATATATGTTTCATGAGTAGACCTAACAATTTGTGTATTCGTGTCATGAAAACGTGTCAGCCACGAATTTGACACGATACGATTATATGATGAGAAATAAGCTTTATCTCAATTTTGAAGATGTATTTTTGTCGTGTCTCTGACAATAGATTCGTGTATTCGAGTCTCGAATTGACAGATCTCCATGTGATGGTGCCCTACGTGTGGCACACTACTCACCATACACAACCCACAGCATTGATAACCAGCCAAAGAAATGGTTATGTGATTAATGCTAACTTTGAAAAAAAAACTTCGCAAGTTTAACACTTTAACAAAAAAATGGATGTTAGTAGGCCTGGCAATGGAGTGAGTTTTGACCCTGATCCGATCCAAACCCTTAACAATTATACGGGTTTGGAGCATAGTTTTTGATCCGTTTATCCGTTAATGATCCGTACCCGCTAACCCTTTTATTAAAAGGGTCGGGTATGTATCATCACTGATCCGATCCGTTTATAACCCTTCCCATATAAATTTTAGAATTATACATTTATATTTTATATTTCCTAAAGTTACATTAAATTCCAATCGGAAGTCCAAAGAGAAAAGACCGAAGACTAAACTGTTTTTACGTAGGGCTCGAGGGCTCAACTTCTAGACTTCCAGTATTCTCCCAAGAGTCATGATTTCCTTTCATTTATATTTCATCATGTAATCACCAATTTCATTTATAAATCAACAGGGTCATTTATCAACCAGAAGAAAGTTTGTAATTGTTATTCTCTATCAATACAATCGACGGTCAAAAACTAATCGGAAGTAACAAAAGTAATGATTTTAATTCCAATAGAAAGTCCTCAAGTACATAATGTGTTTTCTAAATCAACACTTAGTTTTATTTAATAAATGTGATTTTATGATTTAAGTAAAATGTATTTGATTATTCAAAAAACCTACGGTTACGGGGCGGGTTTGGATATCTGTTGATTCGGTGGATAAGGGTATGAGTTTGATTATTCAAAACCCTGCGGGTTACGGAGCAGGTTTGGATCGGATTTTGTAATTTGTTAAAAGGGTTTGAATCAAGTTCGATTCGCTCCAAACCCGCCCCATTGGGAGGTCTAGATGTTAGGGTAAATTCGTCAAAAAAAAAAAAGGAAGCAAATTTAAAAGCTTTTGTAGCATTTTCCTAATTAAAAAGTACTAAATAGTAAATACGATATTTACAACCCAAAAAATATCATTTCGATGAAAAATAAATAAGTACATTTCATCAAAAAAACAAGGCAAACGGCGTCGTCTAAGTCGGCGACTTGGCACTATAGGAAAATGAAGCACTCTAGGGAAACAAGAGGGTTTTCCAACGACTCGGTTGTCTGCGGCTCCGGCGAGGCGGCACCGTCGTCGGCCTTTTCCACCGTACTCTTTTCTTCACTTTCCACGGTGTTAACAGGTATCACGTCACTGGATTTCTCAGCGGGACTTCTGTCTCTTATTTTCCGACGTTGACCTGCTTCACCACGCACTGCCGGTGACCTCGATCTCCGAGCCGTGACTTCTCTCCGGGCATCATTGGGTTGTCCTACATTTCGTTGGCGTTGTACGTTCGTCGTAGTCCTCGACGGCGACTGACGTTTTTTCTCCGGAGAAGGAGCCATTTGCCTTCTAGCCGCAGGTCTGGTGATTCGTTCCTTCTTCCCAGCAAGTTCGCCTGAAGTCGCCATCGGACGTTTTCTGACAACCCTCTTGGCCGGCGGAGACCTGATTTTCACTTTTTGGGTGACTTCACCTTCATCGTCCATCTCGATTTCGTCTTTCTTAGCATCCGCCACCGTCGCCGTTGTTGCAGCAGAGAAGCTCTCACTGTAACTATACATCTCCGACATCTCGGAAACATTCTCTTGAACTTCCTCTGATGGTTTTTTCGTTAAATCAACGGCTCTGCGTTCCTCCGATTGAAGAATCTGTGGGCGGTCTACGATGACTGTCGGTGGAGTTTTGGGGACGATGGGGGTTTCAGAAAGGACTTCCTTTACCGTCTCTTCTTCGAATGCCGGCGGAGGAGAGTGGGAAGCTGGTCGAGGCTCTGTTTTGAGCTTGGATTTATCCGGTTGACGGTTGTTTGCGGCGGTGGTGCCTAGACAGCAACCCATTGGGAAGGAGGATTTGGTGGTGGGGTCTGAAGAGTACAGTTGAATTTGGGGATAAGAAATGCTTACTTGCTTAAGGTTGGTGCATTAAATTGGAGCAATTTGAGGCGATAACTTTGTGTTTGGAAACTAGTGATAAAAATGGTATTTTAAGGGAGGTTAAAAAGAAAAAGAGTAATGTGTAATAAAAATGGTATTTTAAATTTTTAGCGTTATACTAATTTATAAAGAAAAAAGAGTAGCGTATTTTTATTAATTTGTTTTTAAAATATTTCGTTTATATTTATATTTTTATGTATTCTAACATTTTGTTTCTAAAATCTAATCCAAATGACAAAAGTGTCAATAAAATATATAGTAGATTATTTGCTATAGGTATAAAGGATAGGGTGACATTTTGTTTTCTTTGCTAAAGCAAAACTTTTTCACATGTTATCAATTATTTATTTTCTCATTTATTCGGTTCTTAGATAATCTTTTGTAATACATAAGGTTTTTTTTCTTAAAAAAAAAAATCCAAATGATCAAAAAATTTAGAAAAAAGTATATATTTTTTCTAACGTGATATATTTATTTGACTACGTGACATAATCAAATAACAAACTCAAACCTAGCAAAAAATGTCACAATTAAAAGGATTAACCTAACAAGTAAGACTATGGAGAGTGGTCAACACCAACCAACCGAAAAAGTGTTGTCATCTCTGTGTTACGTCAGCTTCACCACCAACCTACTAGACATAGGAAATAATTACCACTCCACAATTTTTTTTTTATGAATAAATTAAATAAAAACATAATAAAATATTTTACATTAATTGAAACCACATTACATTAATTAAAAAAACAAAGAAAATTAAACCTAAAAAATAGAAAACTAAACCTAAATTACTAAAAAAACATAAAAACACATAGAAAATGAAAACTAAAATACTAAAAAAACACAAAAATAACATAGAAAATTAAACCTAAATTATTAAAAAGCATAAAAAACATAGAATCTAGTTGCGATATTTGTCGAGAACTTATTGTTGAATTTTTAAAAACACCCTTAAATTTTCCGGGTCGAGATTCGGTTGCGTCACCGTGTTTATAATTTGAAGATCGGTGAGTGCCAATTTTCGTCGACGAGCTTCCTCCGTTGATTCAATTTTTTTTTCTAAAAAATTTAGAGTTTTGTCTATTTTCTCCGTTAGTACATCCTCGTTGGTTGATTTTCCGCTAGAAGACGCCCTTTTCTCTCTTTGTCCCTTCCCGGTGGTCGACGAAGTTGGACGTCCGGTGGACCCTCCCCCTCGGTGGCGTCGAACTCATCATTGAGGTCGAGGTTAACACAATATCTGACTCGGACATTCTCGACCTTTTGTTGGAGCCGGTGGTAGATCCCGAATGCGACGTATCCGGATAAATAAAAAATTAAGTTTTTTTTTTTTTTTTTTTTTTTTAGTTTTTTTTTTCAGCGAATTTCTTTAAAAACCTGCGATTTTTTCATAAAAAATGTCAAAAAAAGTTTTGTGATCTCTAGGTAGTTTTTTATGCATTTTTATGATTTTTGGGGTTTTTTTAGGCTTTTTTTGTTTTCCAAATAACCCTTCCCTATATATATATATATATATATATATATATATATATATATATATATATATATATATATATATAAAACCAAATCATTATAATAGCATCTACTTATGGTCAATCAATTTAGATAGATGTATTTTAGGATCATATCATCTCACTGGTATCCATTTATATGTTGTGTGTGAATTTAGTTAGTTAAATGTAATTTTTTATTTGATACATTTTTTAACTATTGACATTGTTAATTGGAAAACCATTTATTTAAACATTTTTTTTATTTCGTTTATGATTAATTTCAAACATTAATCGTTTTTCCAGTGTATCATAATCTATTTTTTTTTAATTTATGTTGTTTAAATTATTATTGTTATCATGTTGTTTTAAGAAAATAGTTATAACAATTTTTATTTACTTATCATAGAAAAAATAATATTTGTTAATAAAATGAGAATTATAAACATCTATTGGTGTTTAATTGTTAAGGAAATTGAGCATTTGGTTGAAAATATTTCATATACTACAACTGTATGGAATTTTAAGTTATTTATAAATAAGTTATTAATAATGCTAATTATTTTAAATCTTACTTGTGTTCATTTGTGTCGTGCACCAAAGGGAAAAAATAGAAAAGACAATCGCATTCCAAATATTAAAAAAAGGTAAACATTTTAGAATTTCTTCTATATAAGTGGAACAAAGATAAAACTTGTGTAGCAAGACTTTTTCAAAACAAAGATAAAGGTACCTAAATCAAACAAATATAATTTTTTTTACACTATCATAACACAAACTATAAGGTTAAATGTTCATCTATGTTTAACGTGGATATGATGCATACAACAAGAAAACACCAACAATCAAAGTATCGATCATTCTCATATTTTTCTTCCCGTAAACACCATAAACGCAAAGTAAAATACAAACTAAAATACAATTACAAATATAAAGTACAATTACAACCACCCATAAATGAAAACTAAAATATAATTACAAACATAAAGTTACCACACAACCACCCACATTGCACAATAATCTTCATATAACATAAACAAAAGGATATTAACATATAAAAAGAATATTATGAACCAAATCTTAATATCAGACATCTACTACAATTAAATATACAACATCCGACCACCATTTTTTTTTAAATCCATAACACAATAAATCATATTTTGCCTTTTCTATATAAAAACACAATGTAATCAACATTCTTCTTACATGAGTGATTGGAGAAGTGTGGTGCAATGTTGCTAAAACTGTAATGTTTCAAGTTGGTGACATTATAAACTAAGAAGATGCAGAAAGAATTTCACTCAAAGTGAGATGTTTAGGAAACCAAGAACTAAAGAGAGAAACAAAGATTCATAAATCACATGTAACAACTTATATAACATGTTTGACGTATAAGCAATTAATAATCATTACTAAAATGCATTTGAAAAGTCACTGGAGAATATGAAAAAACATGGGAGTTTCAAATCAATATGGTGCTTGGAAATTTGTCTCTTTTATAAGTTTTGAGAATATGAAATGACAAAGGGGTTTCAAATCAATGTGATGCTTAGAAAAATGTTAGCTTTATAAGATATATAGAATATATAGATATAGATATAGATAGATATATATAATCTAATACTTAGAATGATTAAAAAAAACAAGAATTTTGTTTGATGATCTAACTATTTTAAACATCACCTTTTTGATAAATATTACAAGTATATAATGTTAAGTTATTAACATTGATTTTTTATTTAGAAAAGATGCCTTTAACTAGAAAATTAGAATCGAGTTATTCTAAACATAAAAAAAAGAACAATTTATTCATAGTAAAAGATGATATATCAATCAATTTATCATAAAAAAAATATCGGAATACCATCATAATGAAGAATCAGTTGTGGAAGAACAAAAAGAATAGTGAGAAAAAGTTGAATTATGTGTGCCAAAAAACATGGATGAAATTCATGAAGTTGTGGAACAACTTATAGAAGAGGTTCATGGTGTTGTGGAAGAAGCTAGATAAGAAGAAGTTGAACTATAAGTGTTATAAGATATTCCTTGTATACATGCAACACCAAAAAAAATCACAACAATATTTTTAATTTTTCAATTTAGTAAAAATCATTGTTTCAATCAAAACCCAAGTCATAAGAACCAAATATCCAATACAAATATTTCAAAATCAGAGTATCATGAAATTTACAAAATCACTTCACTGAAGGATGTGTATAATCACGCCTTTGTCTTGCCCGATCATCGGAAGTACCTAAAACATAACACTTAAACTGTAAACCAAATCTTCGTGAGTTTCCCCAAAATACCACCACACAATATATAACAACATGCATACCGGGTCCACAACCATCGGGTTGGTTTACCCTTGAGCCCACAACATGAGTCTGGTTTGCCCATCTGGCCCACAACTCATGTCTGGATTGCTCCCAAGCCTACACCATAAATTTGGCTTGCCTTTCTGGCCCACAACTTATATATGGCTTGCTCCTAGGTTTTTTGGCTTCCGCACAAAGCAGTATTGCCTCAACCCAACCGCACTATATCAACATATGAAGCCCTACTATTAGGTCACATTGACCTGGAGATTCATAAAGTTGCAAACATTATGAAGCCCATCCATTGCAACATCCAATAATAAGGAGAAAAAGGGACAAAACACAAGATCTAGCTACATAGATAGATAAAAATCGGATCTTGAACACTTACAATGGTCCAAAAGAGTGCCAAACTGAAAATAAGAGCTTTGCTTGCTAGATCCTTACTTCTTTCTCTCAATCTTCTCCTTCTTTTGCTCCAAAATGCCACACTAGCTCACAATAAGAGATGGAATGATGATTAGGGTTCACAAGGCCGATATGAGAGTTTGGAGGCTGATAAAAGATCAGCCTCAAGGACTTAAGGAGGTTATATAGGGTGCAAACCCTAAAATTTAGGGTTTCATAATCAGCCGCCAACTCGTCGAGTTTTCCTCTCCAACTCGTCGAGTTGGTCCAAAAAGATGCGCGACCCAAAGCCTTCCAACACGTCGAGTTGAGGCCATCAACTCACCGAGTTCCAAGGGAAACTTGCCTTTTGAATAATAAATCTCATACCTGGAAATCGGGATGTTACACACCGGTTGTGCGCCTGCCATCTGATTTGGCGGTGGTGGTGTCTGGAAAACCACCGGTTGTGCGCATGTTATCTGATTTTGCGGTAGCTGTTGGAAGAGACTCGGTGTGGCGCTAGCGTCTTCCACCGTTGGCGTCATCGTACTGCTTGGTATCACTGCTAGCTGGGGTGCTTGTATCAGAGTGCTTTGCGTTGACACAACGGTGGAAGAAGGTTGTCCTCCATCGACTGGTTGCTCTTGTCCGGTTGTTGGCGCAACAGTTACCACTGAACCGCCTTCTTTTGACGCTTCGTCGGCGATTATTGTGGGAGTCGGAGTAGTGGTTTGCTCCAGTGACATCATAGACCTAATGGGGGTAGTTGGCGTTCCACCGATCTCTCCTGTATCACCGGACGCCATTTTTCACGGATGAGTAGTGTGCTTTTGGTTTGTTTTTCGTCACACTTCGGATGGCGCCAAATGATGTGACATGGTTCCTCCTCAGTAACGCCCTTCGTTCTTAGTAGGTCCGGCGAACCTGCGAGGCCACAGCAAGAAATGGGCCGTCAGCCGTTCTCCGGGAGGAGCTCCTGGGAAAACGCTTCGACGGTCAAATCAGTGGATAGACTTGGGGTTGTATTGTGGGTAAAACTGAGAGAGAGTCACTTACTTCCCAAGGCACCTGGAGTAGCCTTTTATACTAGACCCTTCTGCTAGTCCGTACAGGACAAGGGCGTCAGACCCGACAGGATCAAGGGCGCCGATTGGTGGATCGTGCTCCTTAATCTGTTAGAGTCAACGATTGGTCCAGGCGGTAATGCTCTGAGCATCTGCCTTGTCGCCTAACTGTTATATGTGACAACCTGGAAACTTCAATCTTGTACACTTAGTCAATTCAATTAATATTCAACTTGTTTTGTTGATTTCTGGTGCTATTTAAGGGTTCATTTAAGTGTTCTAAGCTTGTATATAACCAAGGTTGAGTTTAGGAATGAGTTAGAGTGTTGAATAGTGAGAAAATCGGGCCATACACACCTCTTGGAGGAGTGTACGGCCGTACACATGGGTGTGCGGCCGCACACCCACTCCCTTGGCAGCACACTCACTTTTGGGCAGCACCCTTACCCCTATATAAAGGGTAGCCCCCTTCCTTTCATTCCTTTAGCACCTTGGCAGCACATAACATCATTTCCTCTCAAGTTTCTCCAACTTTGAACCTTCCAAAGCTTCAAGAACGTGAGTACTTCTTCCTCTAGCTTACAATCCATGAAAGACCACTCTATCCAAGCTCTATGTGTGCAAAAACGACATGTTCTTCGTGTTTGGAAGTGAGTGCGGCCGCACACCCTCTTAGGGTGGCCGCACACCCCTAAAACACCCTCCAAAGTGAGAGTTTAACTTCCATATTCGATGTAGATGTGCCCGTAGCCTTGCTACACCTTGGAATGGACTTTTGGGCATCATTTTGAGGAGTGTACGACCGCACACACCTGTGTACGGCCTCACACACCCTTGTGCGGCAGCACACTCCAAGTGTGCGACCACACACTCATTCTAGGACCATAAACCCACTTCTAGGACCCTTATCTTGCACTACAATTGAGTATTGACCTAGAACACTTCGTGGATGTGAGTGTGGACCTTGAGAACACTTCGAAGACACCTCATTTTATGAGTGTACGGCCGCACACCCATTGGGCCGCACACTTATGGCCGTACATGTTGGGTTTTGAGCATTCTAACATTCCTATGGTGTACATGCAACCCTATAAACTTTGGATCTATGTTTTCTCTATTATACATGCAAATATTAAGTATTCCAAGGTTTCATCCTAACTAGCATATTATGAAGCACCTATACTACAAAGTTCTAGTTAGATGACATACCTTTTGATGTAGCTTGATGTCTTCAAGCTTTAAGAGCTTAGCCTCAATAGTGTGGAAGCCTCAAGTGGAATCACAAATCACCAAAACACCTTGGAAAACCTTTAGAGAATATGGATACTTGGCTCACACTATGAAATCGGTTATTGCCCTCTTTAGTGTATCCACACTAGCCACTAGCATAATTTCATGACCATAAGACCCTTTATATAGTGTGGAGGATTAGGGTTAAACCCTAATACCCATGACCTTTCATTTCCTAGGATCCATGGGTTAAAGCTCCATGGACTATCCATGAAGACTTAGCCCAACCTAAATGAACTTGGCCCACTACACATATATATATCTAAGAGTCCATATTTAATTAGTTCATTTTGATCACTTAATTAATTATAAATTAATTCTTGATCAATACTAATTAAATAATATGATTATATATTAATATATTAGAACTTATAATATATTAATATAAATCATAAATATACTATTCTCAAAAGACTATCCATATAAATTGTGTCGGTGAAGTGCAACCCAAATGGACCATGCCGGGTCGGGTCAAGTACATACCAAATATAGTTATGGACTTAGAAATTAATCCAACAGCACACTCATGGCCGCACACACACTCTAGATGGCCATACACCCCTACACTCAATCCTACAAGGTCCTATCACTTGGTGCAAATAGTTTCAAGTCCCTAGAGTGGTTTTCCATCACTTATAGTGGTGAAATACCTTCATTTGACTCGTTTATGTGTCATTACATGTTATTAGGATCGAATCGTGTTCAAGGCTTCACTTGAACACCCGGCTCTTCGTATCGATCCTGCAATCAAACCACTTACCCGAGGTGAGTTCATACCCCTACTTTCTCCTTGTTTTTAATGTTTTCAGGGGGGAGGATACAAGCTAAACATAAATGCTTTCAAAACTCATGCAATTCTCATACTTTAACCCCTTTTGTACTGTGTTGAGCATAAGGGTCGTTTTTCACTAAAATTGCATAGTTTTCTGGATTCACTATTCACTACGTTATAAATGCAATCTATAATCGGTATAGTTTGGGATTTTCTAAATATAACAAGTACAGGAATTTTCACTACTAAACATACGCACTAAGACAGAAATAGTTTACAGTTTACATCACTACGTTATCACTATAAATATCACTATACACGATATACATACGGATTTTCACTATGGGAGAACGCTACTACACTACATGTAAACTAGATTGTACGATACTGTGAGGAACTACTTCAATACTGTACCCTTAGGTGTACAGGGATAAATCCTATCATAGTATAACCAGAGTCTCCTGGAGGGAGAGCGTGAGATTTGTGAATAGATCTATTCGGGACTGACAATCCCACACCCGAACTGCTAGCTACAGTTAGGCAGGCATGCCTAGGGTGAAAAATATCATTTAACTCGACGCCTGAAGAACGTTGGAAAGGTCTCTAGTCATATCAAGTATGGTTATACGACTCACATTATGCATAAATCACCTTTAGTTTACAACCTGGCACTCTTCAATGGTTTTATTTACACTAAATAGAACTAAAATACACTATGTATACTGGCTAAATCCAGGGTTTTCAAACAGAACTGATTATGCAATGGTTTCACATACAAAACACGTATACTTCATGATTAGCTTTAGCTAGTCACACGGGGTAGTATTTTCGCATATCACTACAGTTTTCAGTAACGAATATTCATGGTTTTATACGGAAATCAATAACACTACATCTTCATTCAAGAAAATATCAGATTTTCTTGAAACTATACAAACATTTCTGCTAACTCATCAACAAGTTTTCATTACAACTACTGCTTATGAACTCACCAGCTTTATGCTGATATTTTCAAACTGCTTGTATTCTCAGGAAATCAGTAGACAGGTACCTGCTGGGTTTTTGAGGAGTTGGAGCAATAAGAGTTTAATGTTTATATTCATACAAACTATATGATGTAACCCAAACAAGTTTCAGACGATTTCCAAATTGATGTAAACATTTTTATTTAAGTATTCAATGTAATGGTTGCGTTGCTATGATTGCTATTGTATATTGGTTGTGATGCTATACATGACGTCCTCCACCCCAGAACATTTCCGCCATTCTGGTTTTGGGGTGTGACAGATTGGTATCAGAGCCCTTGTTTATAGTGAACTAGTATATCGAACCTTACATGGTATACAACTATAAACACTAAAGGGGCCTAAGTGATCTACACTAAAAGTATACTTTCAAAAATATAAGTATTTTTATAAAAAGTATACGAGCATGCATACATAACAGAATTCGTGTCATTAGTGGAACAACAAAAAAAGTATTTGGATGTTGGGACACTGCGGTCAAACCTGGGCTGTTATGTAATCATGTTTCAGGTGAATATAGCCTGATCAACTATACTCAGTCAAAACATGACCAACATGTGCTTGGGAGTGACGGTGGTGTTACAGCAGGCCTAAAACTTACCAAAAACTTTCATCATAAAATACTATAGGAGTATTTTTCTAGAGCCAAATTCAATGAAGAGATTCATTCTTAGTGTTGCTACCTATCTATTTCGTAGCGATAACCTTCTTGCATTAGTAACATTCCTGTGCTTATCGCTTGGTAGAATGCTTTCATTATCAGGATGAGATATATCATGTTTCATAGATCTTGAGGACTTACCATCCTATTCTTCCTGATTGTTTCTAGAAGAAGATGCCTCCTCGACCAAGACCCAACAGAAGGAACGACACTCTGCCGCCACCACCACCACCCCAGTTCGACCCGGTCATGTTCCAGGAAGTAGTTACCGCCGCTGTAACCGCAGCATGGGCACAAGTGAACTCTTGTGGGGCTGGAGGTGGAACCGACCCCCAACGGCAAGACGGAAGTCACGGGCATCAAAAGGAGTGTTCCTACAAGGACTTCATGACCTCAAAACCCAAGTCCTTCAACGAAAACGGAGGAGTCATCGCGCTGATTCGATGGTTCGAGAAGATCGAATCCATCTTCGAAATTTGCGCCTGTTCCGAAGCAAACAAGGTGAAGTTCGCCGTCTGCACCTTCACCGACAGAGCTTTGACCTGGTGGAATGGTCGAGTCAAAACCCTAACCCTGCCAGTGGCTAATGCCATGGGTTGGGAAAGACTGAAGGAACTCATGCTGGCCGAATACTGCCCGAGGGGCGAGGTGCAAAAGTTGGAACACGAACTTTGGAACTTGAAGATGAAGGGTTCTGACATTGCTGCCTACACTGCTAGATTCTGTGATCTGGCGCTTCTCTGTCCGGGAATGGTCACCCCGGAAAGCAAGAAAATCGAGAGGTACATCTGGGGACTGACACAACCAACCAAAGGAAATGTCTTGGCTGCTAGACCGACTACATTTGAGAGCGCCAAGGATCTGGCGCAGGTTCTGATCGATAATGGGGTTGATCTAGATGAGGTGGCAGCTGTTTCCGAGCCACAGAAGGAAAGTGGTGGGAAGAAGAAGAAATCATGGAACAAGCGGAAGGGTCAGTCTTCGAAGGAGCCCT